AACGCCAGTTAAAGCAGATGATCAATCCTGCCCATGCTTTGTATCGTTCGATTGGTATTAGCGTACCATGACGTGCATATAAATTGGTTGAGTTACGTGGTAATATTACCCTTTGAATGGAGCAATGCCACGTAATCCCCACGAAGCAAACATACCAAATTATGGTAAAAACATGATAACCGTACAATCTTTTGCTTTTAAACGAATCGTCAATTCAAAAAAACTGTATATGTATATACACGACAATTCAAAGAGCAACAACAGGGCGTAAAGGTCAACAGGTCACATTTGGGAAACGTTCTAAATGCACTCAGTGCAGTGCTAACCTATTCCCACTCAAATTGAATAAGAGCGTCTGTTTATCCCTGCTGTTTAGTGTGCGTGTTTGTGAACGTCGCAAAGAGTGGCTTTTACGTTTCACTGTATCACATACACACAGTTACACGGATAAATATGAACCCGGTCTACACACAAAATAGGAGGTTTGAAACCAGGGAGATGCTTCTGGACACAAGTGAAAATAGAATCAGAAAAAAAAATACTAATTACGCGATTGAGAAAGATGAAGTAAAAATAAAACTAGTATAAGTACACTGGCGTCATATAAGATATATATTATACATTACCGGTCATGAGGGAGAAGTACAAGCAAATGATATGTCTGAAAACCATGTCCAAAGGATATCACGACGACAAACATCGTAGTTGTGTTATTGTCTACAGCGTTTCCTTATTATTGACACCTTTGTCAATATCCTTATATATTGTGGCTTTAGGAATATATTCACACATAAAAACAAAAAAAAAATTAAATTTACGCAAAAAAATAAGTTTTGTATAAAATGTATGTTTACTCTGGTTTATTTGTATTAGTTATAAGCACCACTTCCCTATAGCAGCTGCCCAACGTCTACACGCACTAGGTACTGCGCGAAATAAACATCGTAAATACATATAATTCCAAATGGCAATATTGGGACATATATATATATATGGTTACAACATTGTATGACAATCTACTGAAGAGCGATGATAGCACTATCTATCTATAGCGACGTTAGAGCTGACTTGCGATATGCATCTACTATCATAATCTACGATTGAGATACATGTACTAAGGAGTAGGTAATTAAAGCGGG